GTTCCCCACATCTTTCCTCATTTCCTAGAAACATGCGATGGGAAGGGAAGGGCAGAGGAAGGATGCTGACCTCTCTATGCCCCCCACAGACCCTAATCTGGCACCTCTGGAACCGCCCCCTGGAAAATGACTCCTTCCTGCAAGTCACCCTTCAGGACACGGGCTCACAAAAGGAAGAAAGGTGAGGCAGAGAGAGGCAGGAGGAGCCTAACTACTGACCAACGCAGCAGCAGGTTATGGGACCCTTGTCTCTAATCCACAACTCATTCACATGAAGGACCGGAACCCACTCCAGCCAGCTAAAGAGAAAAAAGAGGGATGGGTACTGAAAGGGTAGCCAGGGCAAGATTGAAAATCAGCTGGAACAGGAACTTGGGAACCCAGCAGCAGCTCTGTCCATCTGAAGCCACGTAGCTCAAATTTCTGCTTCTCTCTGCCCAACCCCGGCTTCTTATCACAGCCTCATCTAGAGCCCAGCTGAGACTCACATGCCCTGAAACTGAAGCTATGACATCCCAGGTCAAAATTCCTAGGACAGAGAATCCTGTTGTTCCAGCTCTAGCCAGGTGTCCATCCCTGGTCCAATCAACTGTTACTTGCCTAGGAGCCCCAAGACAGTTCCCAGAGCCAGGAGCCCTGTGCCCTGTCGTGGATCCCCAGCCCCACTGCATTCTTCTCCAGCCTCTCTCTGAGGACAGCACAGCCCTGGGAGGAAACCGTCTCTAGCTAAAGCCCTGCCCGGGAGAGAGGAAGACGCCTTTCCCCTGGCTCGGGATCTCACACCTGCTCCTTGTCTCCCCAGCTTCATTGGCCTGGCCACAGTCCTGCTCAAGCCATTGTGGAAACAACCAAGCAAGGTCCTTTTTGTGAAGGATCTGACCCTGCTCAACCATTCCATGAAGCCCACAGATGTGAGTCAGGCCCAGGCAGGCCCAGGCAGGGTGACTGGAGGAATGGGGGCAGCTGGGGAAGCGGCCCACACCACAGGAGTGCTTCCTGCCTGGGGGGCCCCATCACACCGCCTTCCTCTCCTGACCACCCCCCTTGCCATCATCTGCCCCCACCACAACCCACCTATTTAGATGAATTGACCACCTTCCGTGGGGAGTCAACCACTGTGCTAGGCCCTGTGGTACAAAATTGCCTGAAGCCCATGGTCTGTTGGAGTATGCTGCATTCACAGTGACAGGCACTCCAGCGCCCATGAGACAAGCTTCAGTAAAGCAAGGCCACTGGCTGAGGTCAGGAAGGAGTGAACGATTTGTCTCAGGAGGTCATGGACAGCTTTGCAGAGGGGTGATGTTTAAGACATACGGAAATGTAGGAAGACCACCCAAATGAGAACAAGCAAAGGCTGTTTATTCAGAGCTTGTGCTAGCAAGGGACTCATTCATCATCATTTGTGTTTTGGTAGAGACTCAGAGGCAGCCAGGGGAGCGGGAGAGCTTCACAGTGGACAGAAGGGAAGGCTGCAGATGTGCCCTGATTGGAGGCTACGGGGGAGCCCAAGGCGGGCTAGCTAGAAACAGGGCCTCCCATGTGATTGGTTAGAGGGGCATGTTTGGCTCTCTCTGGTTGGTCCTAAGTTGGAAGTGGGGACAAAAATTAAGGCAGCTGCCAGTTATTAATCAAGGCCTGGCCGTTTGGAGCTGATCATTATTGCTTGGCTTCCTGGATTATTGCTAGAGACAGTAGTCTGACCTCCTACAAGTCTGACTTGGAGCAGGCTGGCTTCCTGGGCTGGTCACTGTAGATAACAGGTTGGTTTACCGGGCTGGTTGCTGCAGATGTGGATCTGAGTCTTATTTTATGTGTGGTTTGACCACTGTCCATTTGTATGCAGACAGTCTGTGACTTACAATGGATGGACACACGATATTGTTGACTTACAATGAGTTTATCAGGATGTGATCCCATCATAAGCCAAGGCGCATTCAGTCTGTCAGTTGAGTTGTAAGCAGAGGCATGAGTTTCCCCAAGGGACAAGAGTGGAAGACCAGCCCAGGCAGGGGCATAAAGTGGGTGGAGCAGGAGGCAGGATGAGGGAAGGTGTGCTGCACTGTTGGCACCGGGGGGGGGGGCACGTGGAGGTGGGAGAACTGAGGTTGTGTGGGCGACCAAGAGCTAGAGGTGAAGGGCCTTGTGGTCCATGCTGGTGAATTGCGATTTAACTTTGATCATTTAGACACTTGGGGTGTTCAGGGGCCATCCTGGTGACAGTCTGGAGGCTGGGTGGGTCATGGGAACACATGAAGAAAGGAGCTCAATTAAAAGGCAGGAGTGTGCAGGGGCCCCACATGAGCTCATGAGATGTTGGGCTTAGGGAAGAACTGCTAGCATCTGTGTTCTGGGCTCAAGTCACCTCTCCCTCTCCTCCCCACTCTCCTGCATCCTTTTCTGCCACCATCACCACCATGTGGCTGCTTTAATCTACAAACATCCTCTCCACTGTAACCCATTGCTCTCTCCTCACCCATTTATAACCTCCCTCCACCCAGACTGTGCAGATGCCTGTGGTGTGGCCCCATCCCATGGCTAGCATCACGGCCCCCACCGGGAGGACCAGGCGTGAACCCAGCCAGACTGTGCAGGGCTTGGGTGCTGTGTCCTAGGATGGCGGGGTCTGGCTTACAGCTCCCCGGCCTTTGTCTTGCAGTGTACTGTCACCCTACAGGTGGCCCACATGAGCCACCGGGATATTGAGAAGACAGGTATGTCCTTCCCTGGAGCTTACCCTTAAGGGCTTACCCTGCCTTTCTCCATGCACAGCTGGATGGCTTCTTGGGGACCTTCAAAACCCAGCCCTTGAGGCCTACAGAAGGAATGTGACCAGGCTAGGGTCCCTGGAAGCTACAGGGTCTAGATGCCAGATCTCCAGACATCTGGCTGAGGCCATCCCAATATGCCTATTTGTCATCTCTAGACATAAGACCCATAAGATACAAGACAGAAGTCTCCAAGGGGCTGCAGAGAGATGAGGATGGTCATCTCCAACAGCCCCAGTGTGTGGAGCGAGGTCCAGGAATCCACAGTTCCTGAGGGTGGAGAGGCCCATGGTAATGTTCTGCAGAGGACATGCGTCCCTGTTGGGGCCTCTCGGCCATGCTTTTAGTCAGGAGACGGTCACTGGGGACAGAATGGTGGAATGGGGAAAATGCCTCAAACCTCCTGGGCCCCAGGCCTCTCAGCCCACCCTGGACTGTGTCTCTCTAGGAGCTGAAGACCTCCTGGGCATAACGGCAAGAGAGGCGGCCAGGCAGAAACTGCTGGTCCCTGGCTCCACCGCGCACAGGGCTCTGTCCTCAAAGCCTCAGCACTTTCAGGTGAGGACCCTCCAGGTTGCAAGTTCATGTGACCCACCTGACACCCTTACTTGCTGTGTTCCCAGGCCGTCCTCACCCCTCCCCAAGGTCATGGTAGAAAGGCAGAGCTTCAGACCCAGCTTCAGGCCCTCAGATCCTTGCCACATCCCCTGCTCCTCCCGTGGCCATTCTGGAAACTTCTGCCTGTAGCTGAAGCCACAGGGCTCCAGTGAGGCAGTAGGAGGGCTGGCTGTGCATTGGCAGGCCCTGGTACCTGCTGGGGAAGCAGCGCAGATGACAGGGATCCTGCCCTCTCAGAGTCCTTGGTTGTTGGCAAAACGCAGTAGGGCACAGGGAAAGTTAAATTAACTGTACAGGAGAGGCTGGGGAGTGAGGGGACCTGTGGGAAGGCCCACATTTCCGTGTGGATTCAGGAACCCTCATCCCATCACTTATCAACTTCCCTCTACCTTCTAGCCTGTGGCCTAACATTCCTGCCATGGTTTTACCTGCTCCCCAGCCTGCTCCTTGCCCAGGAGGCAGGGAGGCTCCTGGACCGCTCCTCTTCCTGCACCCAGCCAAGTCCTAGCTCTTAACGTCACCCAGCTGCTCCCATTTCCCCCCAACCACTTCCATTCCCTGGCCTGAGCCACCACCATCTCTTCCCTGGACCACATCACAAGCCTTCTCCTGAACCCCCAGCCTCCAGCTCTCTCCTGTCCGTTCTTCAACCAAAATGGCCTTTCAAAGATGTCACTCTTATCACGCCAAGCACTTTCTTCAAAAGCCCCAGTGTCCTCCTCACAAGATCCAATTCCTTTTACAATGGCTTCCCGGGCCTTGATAACCCAAGCCTGTCTCTCCAAGCCTTTCCAAGTCCATTGCCTCTTAGCCTTCTCCCAGTGGGTTTTCTCTCTCCACTGTGGTATGGAGAGAATATTTTTTCTTTCTTTTTCTTTTTTTTTCTTTTTTTCTTCTCTTTTCTTTTCTTTCTTTCTTCCTTCCTTCCTTCCTTTTTTTCTTTCTTCCTTCTTTCCTTTCTCTTTTTCTTTCCCTTCTTCCTTTCTTTTCCTTCCTTCCTTCCTTCCTTCTTTCCTTCCTTCCTTCCTTTCCCTCTCTCTCTTCTTTCTCTTCCTTCCTTCCTTCCTTTCTTTTCTTTCTTTCTTTTTATTTGAGACGGAGTCTTGCTCAGTTGCCCAAGCTGGAGTGCAGTGGCACAATCACAGCTCACTGCAGTCTAGACCTCTGGGCTCAGGTATCCTCCCACCTCAGCCTCCCAAGTAGCTGGGATTACAGACAGGCATGCACCACCAGGCCCAGCTAATTTTTTGTAGAGACGGGGTTTTGCCATGTTGCCAACTCAATCTGGTCTCAAACTCCTGGGCTCAAGCGATTCTCCCACCTTGGCCTCCCAAAGTGCTGGAATTACAGACATGAGCCACTCACTGCACCTGGCCTAGAATGTTTTCTTATCAGAACAATTGTGTCCCAGCTGGGGAAGGCGGGGCCGAGGTCCTCAACATCAGCTCCCCATGTGTTCTCCCCTTAGGTGCGAGTGAAGGTGTTTGAAGCCCGACAGCTCATGGGCAACAACATCAAACCAGTGGTGAAGGTGTCCATCGCAGGCCAGCAGCACCAGACACGCATCAAGATGGGGAACAACCCTTTCTTTAACGAGGTGGGCTGAACGGGGCACCTCAGGCAAGGAGCCAGCCAAGGGCTGGGCATCCCGGGCGGGCAGCCTGCAAGCTTGCTCCTTGACTAGGGTGTCATCATGTGTTTGTTCCACAAGCATTTACTGAGTGTCTCCTGAGGGCCAAGCACTGAAAATACAGAACAGGATAACTCAGAGCCCTGCATCTGAGCAGCTGGTGGGCTGGTGGGGGCACAGCTCATGAATCCATAAACAATTACAGTGGAGCAGATCGTGGTTTGCAGAGGTCTGGGAGCATTGTTATTGGAGGTCTGGAGCAGAGACCCAGACCATGTATGTCCCATTGCTGCTGGAGCCCCAAATGGTAGCACTGTGCCTGATATACAGTAGGTGCTCCATAAATGCCTGTTGAATTAATTAGTAAATAAACAAATAAAAGATAAAAGCACAGTGGAAGCTGGGAGGAGTAAGTGAGTAATGAGGCTGGGGGTGACGGAGAGGACTCAGAGGGGCTCCAGCAACCCTGCAGGAAGATTTTACCAGGGAAAGACAGATGGGATGGGAAAAGATAATTCAGGAAAAAGGGATGGTGTTTTCAAAGGCCTAGAACCAAGCAAGCCGCAGACTTGACAGCAGAACTATAGCTATGGGTGTGGCTGGAGGAGACTGGCTGGAGGGGAGCCTACAGTGTGGGCTGGGGTCGCATCCTGGACACTACTCAGGAGCCATGGAGGACTTCGGCAACGGAGTGACAGGCCTAGGTTTGCATTTGGGAAAGGAGTTTCTAGCTGCCACGGGGAGCAGGGACAGAGTGGACTGGCAGGGCAATCTAGAAGGAGGTGTGGGCTCAAATCTCCATCCTAGGCAGCTAGCTGGGTCCTGAGTTCTCCAGGGATCTCCTACCATTCCCCATTCTGGGCAGAAAACCCTCCAGGAGACTGGGCGTGGTGGCTCATGCCTGTAATTCCAGAACTTTGGGAGGCCGTGGTGAGTGGATCACCTGAGGTCCGGAGTTCGAGACCAGCCTGACCAATATGGTGAAACCCTGTCTCTTTTGTAAAAAGACAAAAAATAGCCACACGCAGTGGCAGGTGCCTGTAATCCCATCTACTCAGGAGGCTGAGGTAGGAGAATCGTTTGAACCCAGGAGGTGGAGCTTGCAGTGAGTTCAGACTGCACCCCCACACTCCCACCTGGGCGACAGAGCAAGACTCCCCCTAAAAAAACAAACAAACAAACAAAAAACCTGGGAAATCCCTCTAGCAGCCCGGGAGACCTCTGCTTCTGGGGGAGCATGAGAGAAGTGGCACAAGTTGAGTATCCCTTACCCAAAATGCATGGTATCAGAAGTGTTTTGGATTTCAGATTTTTTTGGGAATCTGGAATATTTGCATTGTACCGGTTCAGCATTCGTAATATAAAAATCCAAAACCCAGAGCGCTCCAGTCAGCATTTCCTTTCAGGGTCATGTTGGCACTCAGAAAGTTTCAGATTTTGGAGCATTTTTGATTTCAGATTTTTGGATTAAGAATACTCAACCTGTTCTCGTAAACCCATTGAAATGGGTAAAGTTGTGGGAAGAAGCACATTATTCTGAGCTTTCGGGTTTACCGGGTGCTTGGGTGAAGTGGTGGAAGAAATCGTCCACTCTACCCCAATTCTCTCTGCCTCAGATCTTCTTCCAGAATTTTCACGAGGTTCCTGCAAAGTTCTTTGATGAGACCATCTTAATTCAGGTGAGGAGCCAAACTGGTCCCCAGCAAGGTGTGTTTCTTGTCCCACTTCAATACCGGGAAGCGCTGCAGCTCCAGCCCCCGCCCTTAGAGCCAGGGGCACTTCAGATTGTCTTCCTCACCACCCCCCAACTTTCTTCACCCCCTGGCACCCAGATTATTCATTCATTTACTCATTCACTCAACAAACGTTGTGGACTGCCAACTGCCCGGCCCTGAACTGGGCGCCAAGGTGAACAGGGCAGCCCCTTCCCATGTGCCAGGATTCTCAAGCCACCAAAGGCCCTTTTGAGTAGAATACTCCATTCCCTAACCAAAGGGAGCCCAGTAACAACGGTGAACATGCGGTTATCAGGTGCCTGCCATGTGCCCAGCACAGGGCTAAAGAGAACAAAGAGGCCTCTTCCTTTGAAGAATTTACATGTTCTTGGGAACAAAGGCACAGAAGAAGCAACCAGGAGAGCATGTGATGGATAACGCTGAGTCCAACACCTTGCTTTATGTTGACTTGGGGCCAGGAAATTGACCTCTCTGATCAATTTCCTCATCAGTAAAATGGAATTAAAAATGTGAACCTCACAGGGTTCCTCTGGGAGTGAAGTGAGAGCACCCATGTGCAAGTGTCAGCCCCATTAAGAAGCATTCAACACGTCAGGAGGATCCCGGATGTGCCTTTGCTATTCCTCTTACAGGGGCTGAGGGAAATTGGGATCGTGAATAATTAAAATATTTCTGGGAACTCCCTTGCAGGTGGTGAACTCCTCAGTAATGAGATACAAAGCAGAGATCGGGAGATTTCAAGTGAGTACTGTACATGGGAGGAGGTTCGGTGAAACAGTTATAGCAGAGACCCACGCTGGGCTCCATGCCCAAGTCTAGGAAAAAGGACTGGGATTTTCATCGGCTGGGTGCGGTGGCTCACGCCTGTAATCCCAGCACTTTGGGATGCCGAGGCAGGCAGATCACGAGGTCAGGAGATCGAGACCATCCTGGCTAACTCGGTGAAACCCCGTCTCTACTAAAAATACAAAAAAATTAGCCAGGCATGGTGGCGGGCGCCTGTAGTCCTAGCTACTTGGGAGGCTGAGGCAGGAGAATGGCATGAACCTAGGAGGCGGAGCTTGCAGTGAGCCGAGATCACAGCCACTGCACTCCAGCCTGGGCCACAGAGTGAGACTCCGTCTCAAAAAAAAAAACGAAAAGAAAAAAGAAAGATCCACACTTGTATCCACCTACCAACTGGGTGACTTAACAGAAGTTATTCTGAGCCTCTACTTCCTCATCTGTAAAAGGGGGATAATAATATACTCAATCTGGAGGGTGATTGTGAGGATTAAAGTATATATAACATTTATAAAGCTCGGGGTGTCATGTTGATTTCCACACAGCCATGATACTTGGACACAGTTCAAATCTCTGCCTCCAGTAAGTAGAAGCAGAGGATCCAAAAGGTCAGCTTATATGTTAGGGAAACTCAGAGAAAGATTGCTGCCTTTGAGGACAGAGTGAAAAGATGTGATTTGGAAAGACAGGCTGAGAGATTAGGAGAGTTTGCAGTCATGATGGACTAAACTAACATTCTCCAAATCCAAAAAGATCAGGAAAAGCACCAGGCGCGGTGGCTCAAGCCTGTAATCCCAGCACTTTGGGAGGCCGAGACGGGCGGATCATGAGGTCAGGAGATCCAGACCATCCTGGCTAACACGGTGAAACCCCGTTTCTAATAAAAAA